TTTCTAGCGCGTGACTCGCTGAACTCTGATTTCCTTGAAGATTGTAAGAGGAAACAGCGATGCTTTTATCCTCCCCTCCTCTCAACGAAGGAATCTTTTGAATTTGTTGTGTGTTCTAAGTTTGGAAAAGAGATATCATTTGCGTGTGGGTGTAATATAATTTTATCATACCTTGTTGAAATCAGCATAGGATGACTGCATACTTGGCCGTGTCATCCCCTCATCCCTGCTTTTTGCTGAATTATCAGAGAGTCACTGGAAAAATAAGTGGCGTTTCCCTGGTGTGGGCATTTAACCCTATTCCTCCACTGAGAAAAGCCCAGCCTATATTTAGCTCCATCCTAACACCCTGTCACCTAATCTAGGACAGCATTTTGCTGTCTTTGTCACTGGGTTTTGGTTTTTTTTTGGAACGTCCACCCAAATTACCCACTCAGTGCAGTATTTTACGCCTTTCCAAAGTACAGCACTGCACATATATCAAAGACCTACAAGATCCCCAGTCACTTGTCTGTCTTTTTAGTGGAAACAAGTAAAATTCTTTAACAATTTCCTCATCGTTCATCTTAGATCTCTGACTGAGCCACTGCTCCAAGAGAGTCTAGGCTTGCCTCTAGCAGAATTATCTCCAATTGCCCACTGCATCTGAAGGCGGATGAGTTATTACTTTTTTTCCATAAAATTTGTTCCACTTGAAAATTTGTCAGGTGGGTGCTTCTGAGCTGACGCCATGCTTTTTCAAGATACACCAGCATCTCCCGCTTTCATGACCAAGACAGCCTGGCCCCAGTTTGCTGTGGGATTGACACTGCAAATTCTTCATCTGATCAGACGTGTTTGAAGGAGACTGAGATAAGAATCTGGTGCAGAGAATTTCAGCACAACCATCCTGAAGTTTGATGAAGTTATAAGCAATTGAAAACACAGTCATTTCCTTTTAAGTGGAGGCTTACCCTGCCCGCTCTGGCTATCAGCAAATGCAATCCTGTTGCACAAGAGGCTGCAAGTTGCAACAAAAGCAGTACCTACATTTTGCCTGAATGCCTCCATTCACGTTGCTTTATAGCAGAAGGAGTTGGTGGCTCCTAAGTAAGCCCAGGTGTGCCTGGGATGGAGGATTAAACAAACCTGCTGGTCAAGCTGTTTACTGGAGGCTTTATGAGAGGTGCCTGGTGTATGGGTGAAGAAGGCTTTTCTCAAAGGCTGCAGTCTTGGACCTGAAAAGTTGTCACAACCATGTTCTCTACAGCTATTTCTGATATTATGTTCCTTGTATCACAGCAAGAGAGGAGAAGATCATGCAGATGCTGTTGCCTTTTGTTATTCCTCTTTAAGCTCCTTCACGCTGTGGTCTTCAAGAAGAGTCAGGGCTGAAGGTAATAGCTGCTTTTCACGGCTGGTCTGAACAAAATCTCCTTAGGCTCCAGGCTGGTAGATTTAGGGAGCAAAAGTTTAAGGTCCTTCCTGGATTTAGAAACTATTTTGTCTCTAAATTAATATGTAATTGCTAGCAAAGGCTGGTTATTTCTGAATTTAGTTACCAAATCCTTCAAACTAAAAGATGCTGGTTTTGTACATTGTTGGGCTGCCCATAATGTGTAACAAGGGAGGAGCTGCAGCTATTCACAACACCATCAGTCCATACTTCTCCAAATTCTCATGCTGGTAAAGTATATATATACATACTCCAAAAGTGAAAAGCTTTCTGCATTTTGTGATTTACACAGTGAATACTACCAGCACTTGAGAAATCACAGAAGATAGTTACTCATTTTTGCCTTCAGCTTGTGCAAATAAGCAGCAATGTTCATTAGGAATGCTTTTGCTTTTGAAAAACTTGTGGCCAACATAAATAGTAACTTCATTTTTTTTTCATTTATTTCTTCCACTGGGTGCATTGCTTTTATTGTTAGATTTGAAAACCAGTTTGCATTTTTGTGGTTTTTTCCCTTTGGTACTTACATTGATTTGTTTTGATTCATGTTTCTAAGCCCTGCTCCTCAAACAGTCCTTACTGGTTAGACAGTCGCTAGATGCCTGCTTCCCCTTACAGGGTTTTTCTGCTCCTGTGGGTGTGGCTGCAGATTAAAGATCTCTGTGTGAATTCAATTAAATTACAAAATATTGACTCCATGTTAAATGAGAAGATTAACTGAGAGCACACTCAAGCGCTCTCAGTCTGCTCAGCAGGGCTGGCTCTCCTGTCAGTGGCAGCACCATAAAAGTCATCACGAGTAATTATTTTTGACTCAGTCAACAATTTGAAGGTGGTGGGGGAGGTCTGGTCAAAGCAGACCAAGCAGTTTAGCACCTGTGATTTACCTGGCGCGGTGGGGGGGTCCCAGGCATATGGAGGACAGGGTGCTGCCACAGCTGCCACGACCAATGGAGCAAGGAAAGCCCGCGTGGGAGGAGATCAGCCCCACCGGAGATACCCCTCAAGTCGTCCCTGTGTTGGTCCTGTCTCAAACGCACCAGTTCTGCCTCATTTCAGACTGGCCATTTAGGGTTACAAGTGGAAGGAGGATGGTACTGGTGGATGGAGGAGGAAATCTGCAGCATTTGGCACAACTCTGTGCCTTCCTGGGTGTCCTGAGAGGCTTACAGGGACCCCCATGATCTTGAGGACAGTTTGACTGAGCAGGAAGCAACCTTCAGAAGCTCCTCAAGCCACAGACACAAGACAGGTAATTTTTCTCATAAAAAACCCAAATTGCTCACTAAAGTAGCATAAGAAGGGGGTTTTGAGTGATGCGGAAGGCAAGCAGGTGGCAGACCATCTCTGCACGTGCCTCCCGTGCAGTCCAACAGCAGCAAGAGGCTGATCAACAGTTAATCTCTGGAATGAACTGGGCTTGTTCCAGGGGCAAAGTCAAAACAAACAGCAAGTCCTGCTTATCCTTAGTGTTGTGGCCTACTTGTAGAAGGAGGGAGGTCTCAAAACCCATGAATGGCATTAGGGCGTGATTTAAACAGCAAAGTGGCGAACAAGAGGGCAAAGGGATTGCTCTCCCTCCTGCCTTTTCCCAAAGCCAGTGTTACCAGAGACCTCCACCCCAAAATCAGTCAGTAAAATGAGAATAACAGGGAGCAACTACCCAAGGTGGCTGGGAGATCACTCAAGCACTGAGTCAATCACTGAGCACCCTGATGAGGATGTAGATGTTACTCCCTTCTGCACCACAGCTGGCCAGGCAGACTGTGTCCCACCACTGCTGCCTGCCCAGAACCCCCCACCTGAAAGAAGCAGGCAAAGCCACGTCCAACAAAATCAGGTTTATTTCCCTTCTCTGCTAGAGCAACGACCATGTCCCGGTGCTCAGGCAGAAGATGTCTATCTCTTCGGTGCTATTTGATTCATGCTTTCATGCCCACAATCATATTGTGGACCTTTTGGTTGAGGGCTCCTCTGTGGACTCCCTTCTTGCCCATGAGGAAGATCAGAGCTTTGGGGGTCTTGCCTTCGGAGATAGCTCTGCCGTCACTGCCTTTGCTTCTGACATCCATCGTGTTGTTCTTCACCCACCAGCAGGTTGTCACGAATCACACTGCACTTTTTGCCAGCTACAGTGATTCCCGTTAGCAGGAACGTTTTCCAATCCTGGCCCGCAATCAAGGCCACTTCTTGAGACAGGATGGCTGTGAAAAGCCCTCCTGGCTTGGCCACCCACACACACTTGTCAAGAGAGGCCCGCAGTGGCCACGTGGTCAACATTCCTGTCTGCCAGGATGCTGTTGAGGTAGTACTTCCAGTAACCCATCGTGGGTGGGTTGTCTGAATCTCTCAGAAACGCCCAACACCAAGCTTCCCTGTCTTCTGCCTGCTGGGACTTTGGTCTCGGCATACTGACCCTAAAAATTTCAGTTTGTAAGGCCAACCTTCAGATCATAGAATCATAGAATGTTTAGGGTTGGAAGGGACCACTAGTGGTCATCTAGTCCAACCCCCCTGCAGTAAGCAGGG